TCTGCTAGTCTTCTGGCGGTTTTCTGGGTTAGTTAGGCAGGTGTGGGTGGAATCTAAGTGATCTGCAGGACGCGGTGAGCCCAGCGTCCTCCTACGCCGCCATCTTCCTCCCCTCCTACTCCCCAATTTTCGATCTCTACCTTTTCATTCTTCTTTCTGAAGAATTTCCTCAGCTTTACTTCTGCTATTATATATTTAATTTCCAAAAGATGTTTTGCCTCCAAATGTTCCTCATTTTTAATTCTCCCCTTGCTGTTTCCTCGGTCACCTGACGATCCATGACGGGCTTCTGTGATTTGAGTTTCTATCAAGCTATAAACTTCCCTCCCACGGTCACGGGTCACCCATTCGTGTTTAAGAATCCTCACCGAGATCAAGCTGTGGGGCCACTCTTCATGCTCTGTCATGCTGTCAAATGGCAGATTTCACTGTGGGATAATCGGAGGTTTTCCCCGCTGGCATTAGGTGTAGATCTTTCCTGTTGGCTGGTCAGTTTCCCAGAGGACACTTTTCTTGCCTTTGGCTGTGAGTGTTCTCAGAGGCAAGCGGAGGAAGAATACTAAAGTCACCGCTGACCCGGGGACAGTGATCTACCCTCAGCTGGGTCTGCTGTCCCCACATCCCGGAACTCTCCTATCGGAATGAAGGAAGAAACACTCTCCTGGCCGAGTGGCGTGAAGGAAGGGCACCTGCCTTCTACCTGCTGTTTCTACAAACTCCCAAGCTCCTGCTCTCACTGCCACTGCCCCCTCAGCCCCGGCATGCTCACCGAGGGGAGGGAAGAGGAGGGGCGGGGAGAGACGCAGGGGTGAAGCAGCTGCTTCCGGGCTTCGCCTGCCGCCGCCTGGGGTGTGCTGTGTCCTCTCTGCGGAATCCGTAGTCACTTAACCGTGTCTCTGGCCTCCCAGAACTACTCCGGTGTCTCCCACATGCTCTTGTCTCCTCCCTCTGTCCTTTGCGGGTTCGTTCCTTTGTAGTCTCCTCCTACCAGCTCAGTGGGGTTTCAGGAAGGAGACCCTGAGCCCATCAGCGTTTCCTTATTTTCTTCCCAAGTGGATGCTGATCCGAGAGGAATGTGAAAAAGGAAAACACAGGGTCCCTCCAACCTCCTCTCCACTCTGCGCTGCCTCTTCCGCTCTGAGCTGTCGTTTTCTATCCACCATCGACACCAACAACTAACCACCTGTTGCCTTCCCGGGGCTTTTCAGTTTTTGGTCACTTTCTCATTTCCATCAACTCCTCTCTCACTTTTTGGCACGTCCAGCATTGGGCTGGGGAAGGAGCGAGGAGCCGGCGTGAATCCGCCCGTCCTGCCGGCACCACGCCTAAGGACCACTCCGTCATAAAGGCCGGCACCATCATCCGATCCTCCCAGGACTCCTCCCAGGACACTTGGCATTTTTCACTGTCAGAAGGGCTTACCGCTAGCATACAGTATTGAAATTTTAACTTGGTTATATCTTATTTTACCTTGCTTTTGTGTTGCTTTTCTCCCGGTTCATGTCTTCATCTGTCATCACGTCAATGGGTATATTTTCGATATTTTTTTTTCTAAACAGGACTCTGAAATAACAGGCTGCAAAATATACATTCATGTTATCTTTTAAACATAAAGTATGCTTTCACAGCTATGACTACCAGTTTCAAACCTGCATATGTGGTTCCCATCCTCCCACTAGGCTTAATTTAACATCTCCATGACCTTCAAGTATTTCCTCCGAATCGCAGAATTTCCTGACCCTTCACGAGGCTAGCTATCCCTCTCAGGACAGTCTCGGTATGCTCTAACTTCCTCTAAGGCAGCTTTTTCCTTCTTACAAAGACGGGTTTGTGTGCATATAATTCCAATTTACCTTCAACTCCATACTAAAGGTAATTATAAGGTTTAAGAGCCTCCCCTTAGGAAGAATCATCAGAAAGAACTTAGGGTAGTCAACATCACCAGTGGCCGAAGCTATCAAACTCGTTCACCATATTCACTAAGTACTAAAAGGCCATATCCATACACCACCAGCATTCTTCAGACAGAACAAAAGGGAGCGGGTTTTGAAATAAGAAAAAGAAAGGCTCGTTTTCTGATTCCTGAGGGATATCTAACAAGATCCAGAAATCTTCCAAAAAAGGATGATGTTCTGCCCAGGCGTGGAAGTATACTGTAACTAAAGTTAAGACAAGATGTTAGCCTAGAATCCATGTGGGGTGGAAAAAGCTTTAATTGTCATGTGACTCAGCAACAGACAAATCAACTATGACTGCAATAGGCCAGAGGCAAGAGTAGTTCTTACTGGAATAGAAAGGATAGAGAGTTCTACACTAGCTATGAAGCCAACAACAGCAGTATCAACACGGGACAGGTCTATCTGGTGATGAGACTCAGAGTGTACAAATCAGACCCAAAGAGTACCAGGAACGGCCACAGAAAGATCATTTACTGCAACCAGGAACTGAAGGCTACAAATTTGGGGCCCACGCTTGAGACAAGGAGACGAATCCAAGGGAGACTCCCACTAGATTCAAAAGCATCCCTGAATCAAACCCATTCTGGATTTGCAACAGAATAGAGGTCGGCAAAATTTTTCTAAAAGGCCAAAGGGCATTTTAGGCTTGTGGACCAGAAGGCAAAAATCAAAGATGTTACTTATGTATTCGTCATACAACAAAAGATAAAACAAATTTCCACAAATGTTTTATTGATGAAATTCAATGTACAAAAATAGTTGAGTATAAGTGTTTTTAATACAAGCCTTTTCTTTTTTTGAGAGAGCAAGTGAGCACGAGCAGAGGAGAGGGGCAGAGGGAGAGAGAGAATCCCAAGCAGACTCCTTGCTCAGCGCTGAGCCCAATGCAGGACTCGAAGGGAGGGGATATTGCCGTACAAAATACGGCAATAAAGAAAACAAAGGTAAGAGCATTAAACTCATTCCAGGACCCTGGAATCATGACCCAAGCCAAAATCACATGTCAGATGCTCAACCAACTGAGCCACCCAGGCACCCCAATACAAACCTTTTAATGAAGAAAATAGAATTCTTTTGAGAAGGACAACATTTTATGTGACTGGGATTCAAAGTTAGTATTACCTATCATCAAACTGCTTGTCATTATTCCTTTACAAAAACCATTCTCAGCTTGTAGACATAGAAAAACAGGTGGCAGGCCAGATTCAACCAATAGGCCATCATTTGCCAGCCACTACTAGAGAGGAGACATCAGTCCCAACAGCTAATTTAACTGTGGAGTGGCATATACTTTCATACTGTCACCATCACCACCAAACATTAAAAAAAAAGAGGAAAGTTGTTCAATCTCACTCTTACACAAATCTAAATGAGTTGGTAAAAAAAATCAAATGAGTTACTCTTTTTTTCTAGAAGACAAGTGAAAAAATCAAGTCAACCTCACACTTCTCCACAGCAACATTCAAATGCCAGAACATTTCCTCAGGAGAAAAGAGTGGCTTAAGAATTTTATCAGAGCCAAGTTTTCATGTAAGTATGAAGCTAACATTTTCACACGTGCAGAATTCAGTAAAGATATCGTCCACGGACCTTTCTTGTAAAATGTATGCAATAATTTTTGCATAGAGATGAAGGCAAAAATATGGCAATAAAGAAAACAAAGGTAAGAGCATTAAACTCATTCAAGTATAGAATTAGGTCAAAACAACTATTGGACGTACGATTACAGAACCGAACACTTTTGTACAGGAAAAATAGTATAAGTACTGAAAAAAGTCAAGAGGGGGAGAAGAGAAACTAAATGGAATATAGGAAGCATGAGTGTTCTTCATCTTTCAAATACACAGGTCAACAGACACTACTTAAAGCTGATAAATAAGAGAAGCCTAACTATATTACTTAAAAGTATAAAGATACCCACAAGAAGAACTAAAATTATAATACATGCCATAAAAATATGGGAGTAAGAAGTACCAGTTAAGAATGTAAATGCATGAATTATGTTCTAATTTCTTCATTTCACAACATGGAGTCAACGGGTGATACCTAAAGTGCATAGATAACAAAATAAAGGTTAAAATATATTCTATGTCGCAAGTCTAGAAGAACTGGAATAATGCATGAACCTTTCAAAATATCAGAAGCAAAACGCAACTCTGTGTTTACACAAAACGGATTTAAAACACCAAAAAAATAAACAAAGGATAACTGTGGTTGACTTCAGTAGGCTGCCCATATAATATTCAATCCCTCCTTCCCTTTCCCAAATAGTACCCACCTTTTATTTAGGTAGATCTGAACAAATTATCAAGGGATAGAGATGGAAAAAATGAGGACAGGTTAAACAGTAGAGACGGCAGAATGGTAAATCTGACATAACACTCATCAGGAGTCTGGAAGAAGAGAGATAATGGGGAATATAATGACCGAGAGTTTTCCAGACACTGATCTACAGTTTCACAGAGTTCCACAAATTCTAACGCATATGTTCATATATATGAACATATACATATATAAGTGTACACATGCATGTGTACACACACCCCTTCAACACAGTGAAACTGTAGAACACCAAAGACAAAAAGGAGATCTTAACAGTAGCCAGAGACAGATTACTTAAAATGAGAATAAGTATGAACTTCTTTATAGCACACATGCGTGTGCACACACGCGCACACACACCCCTAAAACAACAGTATAACATCTCCAATGTTCTATGTGCTGTCAACTTAGAATTCTATACCTAGCAAAAATGTGTTTCAAAAAATGAAGGCAAGATAAAGACATTTCAGGCAAATAAAATCAATAGACAAATAAAATGTACTCCACAAGGACTTAAAAAAGAAGGAATACTATCCCAAGATGACAGGTCTAAGATACAAGAAATGATCACTAGCAGAAGTAATGAATATGTGTAAATCTAAATGAACACTAACTACATAAAGCAGTAATTATTTCTTGGGGGATTAAAAGTGAGGTGGAACCAGACTCGATAACAACAGCACACAGGTCAGGAGGGGGATGATCAAAATTAAATTAAGATCCTTGTATTTTCTGCAGGAAGATTAAAATCGGTTAAATTGGCACTTTGGTAAGTTAAGCGTACATCTTAAAATTTCTATGGTAACCACAACATAAGGTGGCAGAAATAACCCAAAACATATGAATAATTATAGTCACTACAAGTAGACTAAACTCTCTACAAAGACAAAGATAGAAAAACTGGGGGGTGGAGAGAAATCCAGGTAGATCTTACTTAAAAGACACATATCTAAAACAAAAGGATACCAAAAGGATGCAGTAAAAGCTAGGAAAAAGATATACCAGACAACTATTAAGCAAAATGAAGATATTATAGCTATATTTATATCAAAAAAATAGGCAGTAAGGCAGAAAGAGTCACTAGATCTAGAGAAGTTCACTATATAATGATTCAGGTTCATTTCACCAGAAAAATGAAACAGTTCTGAACTTCCACCTACAACATGACTTCAAAATATGTGATGCAAAATACACAATTCAAAACTGACAGAATCATAGGGAGAAACAACTAAATATAGCATGATAATGAAACACTGTGACAAATTCAGTTAATCAGGCCAACCCCCTCTGGCACCAAACAAAACAAAAACAAAACTAGCAAGGATACAGATTTTACTAATCTAATTTAAAACTATGACCTAACAAATACACAGTGTACAACTCAAGAAATGGGGAATGCACGTATTTTTTTAGTAAAATTTTTTAATGTTTATTTTTGAGAGAGAGACAGAGCATAAGCAGGGGAGGGGCAGACAGAGAGGGAGACACAGAATCCGAAGCAGGTTCCAGGGTCCTGAGCTGTCAGCACAGACCCACCAACCGTGAGATCATGACCTGAGCCGAAGTCAGACGCTTAACCGACTGAGCTACCCAGGCGCCCCGAGAATGCATGTATTTAAAAAAATTTTTTTTAACATTTTTTTATTTTTTATTTTTGAGACAGAGAGAGAGAGAGCATGAACAGGGGAGGGTCAGAGAAAGAGGGAGACACAGAATCCGACACAGGCTCCAGGCTCTGAGCGGTCAGCCCAGAGCCCGACGCGGGGCTCGAACTCACGGACCGCGAGATCGTGACCTGAGCCGAAGTCGGACGCTCAACCGACGGAGCCACCCAGGCGCCCCAGAGCATGCATGTATTTTATTTTATTTTATTTATTTATTTATTTTTTTAAATTTTTTAACGTTTATTTATTTTTGAGACAGAGAGAGACAGAGCATGAACAGGGGAGAGGCAGAGAGAGAGGGAGACACAGAATCCGAAACAGGCTCCAGGCTCTGAGCTGTCAGCACAGAGCCCGACGCGGGGCTCGAACTCACGGACCGTGAGATCATGACCTGAGCCGAAGTCGGACGCTCAACCGACCGAGCCACCCAGGTGCCCCAACATGCATGTATTTTAAAGTGCACACGGCACAGTCTCAAAATTAACCACTACTTGATCATAATGCAGATCTCAACAAATTCCAAATAATTTATCTTCATACAATCCAAATTCCACGCCCACAATTCAACCAGATTAGAAATAAAGGAATAAGAAATGAAATCTCATAAATCCAGAAATTAAGAAACACCTACGTAACTCAGGGATCACGATG